TAAACTTAAAGAGCCCATGGCACTTTTCCTTGTTTTCTGACTTATCTACAATGTTACAGCAGTGAATTCTCATCTTAGACATGACCTAAAACTCAAAAAATAAGGTGTATGTATGTTCTAGAATTTCTATGCAGAAGCAATTCAGTTTATACATGTCTTACAAACTCTTGCTCGTGAGACTTTTTTTTTCTAACAAAATAAAGTATTACGTGATAGTTTTTAGGATTTTCTTGAATGGTCATTATCTCCAGGCAGTTGCGTGTTCATGTAAGTTTGCTTGACATCCACCGGTGCTCCCACCAAAATGTTATACTGCCTTGTTTGCTATGTATATTTCAATAAAGCGTATTTTCTAAAAAAAAAAAAAAAAAGACATCTACTGGTGCCATTGTAAAGGTGGAATTTTTTGACTGCACATGGTTGCGCTTGCCAATATTGTTGAGCTTGTTAGGTGGAGCTCTTTTAGTTTTCTCCCTCTAACTCCCTTCACCTACATTAAAGATCTACTTAGAACTAGTTCCTCTGTCTGTGTCTGCATATTTGGGTCCTTGGTTCCTTCCTTAGTCCTGACAAAGACACAAATAAGACAAGCCATAGTAAACAGTATATTACTACAGCTTTTTTACTGCTGATGTGCAGATTAGCGATCTTGGATTTTGAGGGTGGGGTGATGTTCTTCTGATTTTCTGAGTTGGAAATCCAACTCTAGAGGACATTCCAGTTGAAATTTCTCACTTCCCAGTTCAAATGGAACACACCATAAGATGTTGTCCAACTGATAAAACCAACTGTATCTAACTATCAGACATAAAGAGTGATTAAATTAGTTCTGGATAATGCTGGAGCACTCCAGATGACTATCTGCACTGAAGCAATCTTCAATTTCTGACCAACGTTCTCTTAATTACAAGTGATCTTGATTAGCAGTTATTAGAAGTAAGTCATTGCCATTTCCCAGCTCAAGCATTCAGTTTTCTAGACAGCTTTCTAGTAATAATAATAATAATAAACTTTATATATATATAGCACTCTACAACTCTAAGGAGCCCAGAGTGCTGCACAGTAACCATGCTAAAACAATCAAACCTAAACACATTAAAACCCAGATTTCTAAACCTGAATTATAAAAGTGTCATGCCAAAGTAGATGATGTATTCAGAAATGGGTTTTTAAAGCCGACTTGAAACCCGCTAACTCAGTCTTAGACCGTGCCTCTAGAGGAAGGGAATTCCCGAGGCTCTGGCCATATACAGCAAAAAGCCCATTTTTTATATCGAGCTCGCGGGACAACCAGGGACAACTGTTCTGGGCTCTACGCGGGGCGTACCTGCACAGAAGGTCCGACAGGTATGGCGGAGCAAGTTCCTGGATAGCCTTAAAAACAAATAAACACGTCTTAAATTCAACTCTGTATTGGATTGGGAGCCAGTGTAAGGAATGAAGAACCGGGGTAATATGAGCATACCTGGGGGAGTTTGATAAAAGCCAGGCTGCTGCATTTTGGATTAGCTGAAGTTTTCGGAGTGAAGCCTGAGAGACACCTGCATAAAGGGCATTACAGTAGTCTAAACGTGAGGTAATAAAAGCGTGAGCGGCTTTCTCTAAATCGGCAAGGCGACAAAAAAGGTTTCATCTTAGTTAAAAGTCTTAGGTGAAAAAAGCTGGTCTTGACCATGGCTCTGATCTATTCTAAGTGAATAACAAAGCAGTGAAGGGGCATGACTGCATATCTTGAGCTGCAAAGAGCCACTGTCCAGTTGTTTTCTTTGGCAGCTTCAAAAAGGGGTTTTATACAGAAAGGCCATTGTGGACCAAGGGATTATAAATGTTGCTTGACCACCAAAGATGACAGCCAACTCTGAATTAGGTGAGACAAACAAGGGAAGAGCAAATGATATCTGATTAATTGTAATCTGATGAATTTAGACCAAATACAAAACGCATGCCCAATTACATTGTTTTCAGGATGGTATGTAATCTATTGTGAATGTTGATAATGCACTGAAGGACAGCTTGTTAATGTTAGGTATTTTTAGTCAGATAGATATGGGATAGATACTTTATGTATTAGAAATGTTTAGTGGAGATAGGATGTATAGTTAGACTGTTAAATGCTTAGGCATGCTTATGAGTTTCTACAGGGTACATCTGGTCAAGGATAACTAGAGAGAAAAGTTGATGACTGTCAGCAGACAGGATGTTTAATATTATTATTATGACGTGTATAACTGTAGCCTTAGCCATAATATGTTCTTATGTTTAATGTCACGACATGTCACTAGAGGTCATGTGCAAATGTTTTTCGCTACACACCACTTAATCAACAAAAACACACACACACATTGATTTGCTTCATGTTTTGACTATTGCTATGGCCAGCTGCAAAGCTGGCAACAGAGACGTCTCGGTTGACGTTTCTGTGTAGTATGGGGCTAGCCCAACCGAAGGGATATAATGTATAGGCCTGGTGGGTTCAGGGTCTTTCATCTTACATCTGCCTGCGTGCAGTTTGGAGGTGCAAGATATCTGAGCGTGTAATGTTAATTTTACCTGTGATCCTTTGAATAAATCAGCACTGTTTTGAAGTTACTTGGACTGTCTCGTCTCTCAGAGTTAGCAATGGTAACAAGAACTGAGACCTAGTCTAAGAACCACCAAGGCAAAGCTTCACTGAAGGTAATGTAATAACTGGTGCTAACAGGACAGCACTGCAGGTCAACATGTGCCAGGCAGGCAGAGATCAGAGTACAGATCTTAGGGTGAGAAGAGGAGAAGAACAATGCATACTATGGGTGGATTTTTAGTCAGAAGAGGGAAACCAAGCAAACCCCTCCTGTTTTCCACTGCACCTAAAGTGACAAGTTTGCTTGAAATTGCCACTGCAATGTCATTTCCATCTCATATTTCAAATTCACAGGATCCCTGTGTGTCCTCTGGTTCACACTGCTGCAAGCCCATCACACATACTGCTGTCCATATGGAAGACAGTACAGCAAGGGCAGGTTAATCCTTTGAAACTCCATGAACTTTGCTTTCTTTTGCTTTGTTCTCTTTATGTGGTGGGAGTCCTGTGACCACAAATCAAAGTTTGGGGATCAGATAGGAGGTCGGCAGCAGCTTGCAGCTCCACCAGGCAGATTCCCTGCTGCTGTGCCAACTGAGGACTGGCACACACAAAGCTTGAAAAGTGTGTGTTCCTGAGGTCAAGGGTCTGTTTGAGGGGTCTGCCCTCCCCAACTAGCCTAGGGAGAAAGGAATAGCTCAGTCAGCAGGCCCCAGGGCCACTGTCGCGATGAAAAGATAATTCCCCCCCCACCCCACCGCTGGACCTCATGTGGCGTCAAACCATTTGTGAAGTGACAGAGCCAGATTGGGCCGAAAGGGTACGAGTGGGAAACTTCAAAACCTGCTCATGTTTCTTTGGACGTGAAAGGATTTGTATAACACATTCAGATTTGATGGACTTTCCCATGTTCACCCTGGACAGCCCTTGTTTTGTTGACATGTTCAAATAATGAATCTCTTATGTGTAGGGTTCCCCCCACCTGACCCCCCCACCCCCGCTCATGAAGCCTGTTTCTACAGTAGTTGTCAGGTAGGTATGCTGTGTCGACCATTCTATCGTTTGTCCCAAGCTTATGGAGAACTGCTGACTCGCTGCCTTCCAGCAACCAGGGTGAGTGGTTACCTCTTGTAGACCAACAGCCTACTTTTTACCAGCACCTGTTAGGAACAACACGGTCTGCTGTCAGAGCTGGAGATGCTATCTAAAAACTTGCAATTACTCCTTTAATTTAGCTGTTTTCTCAGAACTGAGACTCTGCATTTGTGATTGACAACAATTGTGCGATAAGAGGTTTTCACAGGACAATGAGGTGAGCACAGAGTTCTACCTTATAAACTGACCATAGTTATCATGCCAGTGTTCAAAGATAATTCAGTCACTTGTCTGCTTTGATTCTGTTTGGCAGGCATATGAAAGATGCTTCCAAAGTGTTAAGTGAAATCTTATGGGAAGAACTTCTGGTCTGATATAACAGACTTGTAGAGGAACATTTGGGTTCCTCTCAAAAATAATAATTATATATATTATACATTTCTTCTGCTATCTTCCCACCTCTAAAGGCTCTGGTTTTCTAAAGCAACAGATGAACTGAAAAGACTGTATTTCTTACATGAACGTTTTGCTCTGTTTCAGGTGCTGCAATGGAACATATATTCTGGATATTTTTCTTGCTTAGTAAGGCCTTATCAGTTGGAGCTCAGTTCAATGGATACAACTGTGATGCCAACTTTCACAGCCGCGTCCCTGGTGAGGAACTTCAGGAAAGTGATACAGATTCACACTTTTTATTTCTGTAATGTGAAGTATGTATACTTTTCAAGGAAAGACCTATGTACATATTCCAAAGCAGAGATCATGAATATGTTAATGTAATGTGGTTTGAATAAAACTTAACATTAGGGCTGTGAACTCTCACAAATGTTCTCCATTGCTAAAACAAAATGCTTTACTAAAGTTCTAGGAACACTAGAACACAAAATCTAACTTGACCTCATAACTCACTCAGACTCTGGATTAATCACATCTCTTAAAAATAACCACAACAAATCTCTGGTTATCTTATTTAAACACCCAAACCACTGTGGCACTCATTTTTATGTGCTTGTATGCACCTGTTGGTGTCAGGTTTGCCCGGCTGCGCTTGCCTTCTCACTCCCCTCACTCTGTTTTTGCTCCCTTACCTTGATTACGTTATCCGACACACCTGCTTCATATCCCCTGATTACCACCAGCTGCACCTGATTAGTTCTCCCTATTTATTCCCTGCTCTACGTTCACTCCCCTGCCAGTTCTTTCTAGCGTAATCAGGCCCGTTTGTTTCCCGTTCTCTTTTACTGTATAGTATCTTCACGTTTTGTCGCCCTAGCTGTGTTCCAGTCTTTAGCTTCATTGTTTCATTCCTCCTCGCCTCTGTCGCTTCTCCGGACCACGGACCTCCTCTACCCGGCTCCTTCTCCACCACGCAGGTCGATGCACAGTCTCCTACTAACTGTATGTACAAACTCTGTTCTTCCTCAGTACTTTCCACCACGACCAGCCCAGGAGTGAGTCCCAGCATCTGCAGCCCGGTCTTGATTTGATTTGATTTGATTTATTCTTTCAAGCATGTAAAGACAGTTGATATGTCAACACACATAATTTTACACATATCCAACAAATGCTAATCCAATATCAATTTGCTTATACCTAGTACATGCTTGAATGGAGTAGGAAGAAGTCAGACTTATCCAGTCCTACCCCATGACATCATCTTACCATCATTGGTTTCCAAGCAGTAAATGATTCACTACTACCCCCACACATATATTATACTAAAAAAAAATATGTGTTAACATTCTTACATCACACAAGTAATATACTAAAGAATGGTTACAAAATGTACACCACACCCACAATAGTCCATGTAATTAATCATTGAACCTGCTCTTGCATATATCTTGATTGACACATTAAACTTGTCAATTCTATTACTATTTTTTTATGTCCACACTTAAATTATTCCATAGTTTTACCCCACTTATGGAAATACAAAATCTTTTTTTGGTTGTACGTATAGCATGAATTTTTAAATTTAACTGACCCCTTAAATTGTATCCCCTTCCCTTTCAATAAATAGTTTTTGAATTCCCCCAGGTAATAAATTGTTCCTGGCTTTATACATAAACACTGCAGTCTTATATCCCACTAAATCGAAAAATTTTAGCAATTTAGACTGTATGAAAGCTCCAATGGTGTGATCCCTGTACCCCATCTTATGCACAATTCATATCGCTCTTTTTCGTAATATATACAATGATTGAAGTGAGCTTATGTATGTATTTCCCCAGTTTTCAATGCCATGCTCTAAGTATGGTAGAATCAATGAGGAACACAAAATGCAGAATTTGTCATCAACTATGACACCTAGAAATTAAATTTCATGTACTTGTTCAATATTAGCTCCCCCAATTTGCAATTGAAATTCATTGTCTAGTCTCCGATTCCCGAATACCATAAATTTAGTTTTATCCAAATTCAGAGGTACTATATTACTGTCACACCATTTCTTTATCTGCTCAAGTTCCTGTGTAACCCATCCAGAGAGTTGCTGTAGGTTTTCACCCGATGCCCATATGGTAGTGTCATCAGCAAACAAAACCACTTTCACTAAATCAGAAACCGTACATATATCATTAATATATAGTAAAAATAATTTAGGTCCCAAAACAGAACCTTGAGGCACTCCACATACAATGTCCAGCTCACTCGATTGGTATTCACCCAACTTCACAAATTGGTGCCCCTGTGTCAAGTAACTTCTAATCCAATTCAAAACCAATCCCCTGATCCCATATTTTTCTAACCTATCCATTAATAACTCATGATTGATTGTGTCAAATGCTTTTTTAGGTCAATAAATATTTCCATTGTATCTTCTCCTCATCATTCAGCCACTGACTGTATTTACTTCTGCAGCTCAACACCCGGTCCCACTTCTACCTGACTATTCATTTCCTTGTTATATTTCACTGTAATTAAACTTGGCACTGCTTGCACTGAAGTCAGCCACCTGGGTCCGTCATATTTTTGTGACTCGCTCACCCCTGTGTTCGAGCCGATCTAACAGTTGGTGTGTGTGTTTCTTGCAGCAGAGAGAGATATCAGTGTGTACTGTGGGGTGCAGACCATCACACTCAAAATCAACTTCTGCCCTGTCCTCTTCTCTGGCTACACCGACATGGACCTGGCCCTCAATGGTCGCCACGGAGACGCCCACTGCCGTGGATTCATTAATAACAACACCTTTCCCTCTGTCGTAATTTTTAGTATCAGCCTGGCAGCGCTGGAGTCCTGTGGCAATTCTTTGGTGGTAAGTCGACTGTTATACAAATTTTACAGAAATACTGTTGGCCTGACTGATAACTACGCACTGTTGATGATGTAGCTGGATTTACAGCTTCAAGTGTTAAGCATTTAATGTTAAATAAAAGCTGTCAGAAGTATTACCAACAGCTTTGAGAAAACACCATTAAAGTAAACAAAATAGTGGATAATATAAGGCTTTTGTAAGGTGACACTGAAATGAGGCCTCTAAAAAAAAAAAAAAAAAAAAAATTGGGAATATATTAAATGGTTTTACATGACTGTTTAGCACATTTTAATGCTAACACAAAAGCACAAACTGAAGCTGAAAAAGCCCAGCTCCCGACAGTTTGAAGAAAAGCGGCAGCCGTGTCTTTCATTTCATCCTGCTGTCTCATTCACAGTATCAAAGTTGTGCATCCACCGTTATCTTGGTTGTTATCTTGGTAAAGGGCTACTGTGGGACGCTAGAGGCTCTGTCAGAATGATTAGTGAAAAACAGTTAAGGGCAGTTTAAATGAAGTTCTGCTGAGCAAGCTGACTCTCCCTCGTGCTTTGCTCCAGTGTCGAGCTGGGTTCTCAGACAAGGAGAGACTGAGTTGGGAATTAGAGAGCTGAGCCAGGAGGAGGGTGTTACTCACACTGATGTTTACTGCAGGTCTCCACAGCTCAGGGACCCAACGCGTATGGAAGCCTGTCACTGGTGCAGATTGGTAACATTTCAGGATATATTGATACACCGGATCCCCCCACCATCATCAGCTACCTGCCAGGTCTGTTGTACAAGTTCAGCTGCAGTTACCCACTGGAATACCTGGTCAACAACACACAGCTGGCCTCGTAAGTGCCACTCACATGACCACTTCCACTTCACCTTGGTCTGAAAGTCCTCTTTCATAAAATCAAATGGGTAGAATGAATTGTCTCTGCTATTAGCTTTAAAAATTCAACACTGGTCTGCCCAGCATGTGGGACTAGGAAAGGTCATGGGGGGGCATTTTGACAACTTGACATACAGGGGACAGACACAATATGGAAACAAACTATACAATGTAACACATCACATTGCATTAGCCCAAAACAAATAACATAGTCTTTGTAAATGTATAACATTCAGTTTTGGTTGAGCCTGTATCCAAGAGTTGCTCATTCATCTCTGAACTTCTGAGGCTGTAGTTTGTGATCCTGTGAAAGTGTATTCATTTTGCCAGTTGGGTGGATCACATGAAAGAAACACTTGCTGGATTATAAGTACAATACACTATTCAGAATCATTTGTATCCCAAGGTGAACAGAATATAGTGGAAGTTTAATGCATTCAGAGACAACACCAGCACAAAATATAGACTAAAAATGGCCATGGAGTAGAATCATCATGTGTCTGACACATGTTTATCAAAACCTGATCAATCTTGGCTTCACAATAGTTTCAGGGTAATTTTTTTTTTAAGTTATTGTTTCCACTTGCTATCACATTTCTAAAACCAGTCACTGGTAGTGGTGGAAAAAAGAGTTTCCAGATCTGTGCAAAGATTGATAGGAAAATAGCGTTTTTTTTTTTTTTGTTTGTTTTGTTTTTTTTTTTTTTTTAATCAGAATTTGAACTTTAAGATTACAGAATTTTGTTTGGACTGCACAATATCATACAGATATGATGTAAAGACACTGTGCACTCCAGTATTGAGCACAGTGTATCTGTTTCCTTTGTTGTAAGTCTATTTATTTTTCACACTGGTGCGTTTGGTGAATTAATGTGCTTTCACTTAGGTGGGAGGAGAGGTGCAGCTGAGGCCATGTTTATGCAGATTTGGCAGCACAGTGCAGTTGTGGTGCTTATTCTGACCCGCAATTGTGTTCGTGTTAAAACCCATTCAGGCCACCTTTTATCACAAATATAGGTCCATTGACAGTTTCATAAAGATGAGAACAGGTACCCAAAGTATTTTAAAAGCAACTTAAAGTAAATCCTTAACACCCTTACATTGATGCATCTGTGAGTAAATTATGTTATTGTTTCTGATCCCAGGAACAGTCTTTGTCTGCCCTGCACAAAAGCTGATTAGACATATTAGCAGACTGCTGTATGATATTTATGTGCAATATGTTTGTACAATAAATATTTTCACACCACAATTTATGAATGGATCACAAACAGTAATTGTTAGGAGAATAAGATGGAGGGTATGAATCTTTCTTCATCACATTTCAGTTATTTCTGTTGAGGCACTTATGGTGACTCTGCAGCTCTGTCAGTATCAGTTTCCTCATGCGAAAACCTCCTTTGACAGAGCCTCTCCAGATCAGGCATTGACAGTCCAAGCAAAGTTTCCTGCTGTGCTTTTAAAAGGGATGAGCTGGTTTAATTGGCCGTTACTAAAGCCCACCCTGAAACTGCTTGCTCATGATGCATTCTTGCCACTAATGATGTATTCAGCCTCTCTTCCACATTGTGTCCAACTGCAACCAAAAATTGAAAACAATTGATGGACACACCCATATGTGTCTCACCCAGTGTTTAAACTTGCATTTGCCTCTGCACCCTATTTATATAAGAGTCCCGTTCTAGTGCTTTTAGATCTCACAGCAACCTTTAACACCATGAACCATACAGTTCTCATTTCCCGCCTTGAACATTGCGTCGGCTTGCATGGTGCTGTGCCAGCTGAGACATAGTCCCTCCAGCATGTCCTGGGTCTTCCCCGGGGCCTCCTCCCAGTGGGACATGCCTGGAACACCTCCCTAGGAAGGCGCCCAGGAGGCATCCGAAACAGTTGCCTGAGCCACCTCAGCTGGCTCCTCTCAATGTGGCAGAGCAGCGGTTCTACTCTGAGCTCCTCCCAGGTGACCGAGCTTCTCACCCTATCTCTAAGGGTGCGCCTGGCCACCCTGCGGAGGAAGCTCATTTTGGCCACCTATATCTGGGATCTTGCCCTTTCGGTCATGACCCAAAGCTCATGACCATAGGTGAGAGTCAGAATGTAGATCAACCAGTAAATCGAGAGCTTTGCCTTACAGCTCAGCTCCTTCTTCACCACAACGGACCAATACATCGACCACATTACTGCAGAAGCTGCACTGATCCACCTGTCAATCTCCCGTTACATCCTTCCCTCACTCGTGAACAAGACCCCGAGATACTTGAACTCCTCCACTTGAGGCAGGAACTCTCCACCAACCTGAAGGGAACAAGCCACCCTTTTCCGACTGAGAACCATGGCCTCGGACTTGGAGGTGTTGATTCTCATCCCAGCCGCTTCACACTCAGCTGCAAACTGCCCCAGTGCATGCTGGAGGTCCTGGTTTGCGGGGGCCAACAGGACAACGTCATCTGCAAAAAGCAGAGACGAGATCCTGTGGTCCCCAAACCGGACTCCCTCCGGCCCCTGGCTGCACCTAGAAATTCTGTCCATAAAAATAATGAACAGAACCGGTGACAAAGGGCAGCCCTGCCGGAGTCCAACACGCACTGGAAACAAGTCTGACTTACTACCGG